GACTAATGGTCAAAGGTGAGGATGGCATCTTGACTGTGTAAGACCGATTAGTTTTGACCCCATTCCATCCTACCGGAGCCAGGCATTGTTTACATGACAATCACACAGTAGGCTAAGAATGGAACCAAGTCAAAGAGTTTGACATGTGTTTTACCAATGTTCAGCAAGGACAACAGAGGACAGGCCAGGGATCAGGAAATCATCCAACTCCTTGGGCAGATGCTCTATGGGTGAATATGTTTGTGAGTACATATTAAGCCTGTAGATGTGCTTAATAGTTTATAGGCATAACTGCAAGTTATTACCCGCTTTAACCTACACACTCAGCTGAACTGTTGACAAATACTGGAATCTGGACTTTTGTATGATGGATCAAGTTCTGGATGCATCTGGCTATCTTGTTTTTGAACGAGCCAGCAGTTTTTCCATTAGTTGTTGCTGAGTAATCTCAAAGCATTTTTATTACTTGATAGACAATCATGAGAAGACACCAGCTTGACTGACATTGCCAGCCAAATCAGCCCAGCTAATGGTCAGCTTCCCCATCACTCGGTTAGCGAAGAAGACACTGTACTTTGAGCTTGAGGCCCACTGACACTGAACAGTTACAGTAGTGTCCACTTTGTAACTCTGTCACCAAGAAGTCACAGTTCCACTTCCTAGTGTGAGCTATGTAAATATATATATGTATTGTAAATTATTTTTGTTTATTAGTCTGATTCTTTCCTCCAGTGTGTATATATATATATACAAATCACTGATAAAGTTTCTTATTTTGCCTAGCTGTGTATTTCATTTATTTAAAATTGTTCCCCTTTTTCTTTAATGCAAAGGCTTTTTATGATTTCAATTTTAACGTTTTATTTTATTTTGTCCTTTTTATTTTATTTTATTAGGTTGGTTTTTAACTACTGCCTTCTAAACAGGGTAACTAATCGTTGTTATAGTTTTTTATGTAAGTATTAACTCTTCATTAAAGGGTATTTTTGCATGTATATAAGCGTGTACTTGTATTTTGCTCTTCTATGTTAATGCATATTTAACGTATTTCCGTGCATTTCATTGTCTTTTATTATATAATGCGTGTTTGATTTTTCTTCTGTTAAATTTTGATTTGGCTTACTATCCTGTGTTTTAAAATCATAGTTCAAAGGATTTCTTTTGAATTATTTCATTTTTTATAATGTGTATTATTGCAATATATTTTAAGTTGTAGTTAAAAGGTTTTATCTTGTGATTAAGTGTGATTCATTGTTAATAAGTGTGTCATCCACGTGGCATTTACGTGTATATAGGAACAAAGTTAACATGTTCCTTGACCATGTTGTGAGTTTAAAGTTTATTGCTTTAAAGTTGAACTCAATTGTTGGCTTGAAGGTATGTCTGAAAGAAAGAAGGAGGAAAAGTGTAACATCCAGGCATATTATATGTTTTCTACCTGCTTTTGGGATATAGAAAATTTTAAAGCTTTTCAGAGACTAGTTTCCATGCCACAATGGCGGCAACACGTAGTCAAGAATGTTGTTAAGATTACTTTGTTCTAACTGCTTTGTTTCTTTTTTCTTTATACCAGATAATGTCTTTTCTGCCCAAAGGATAATTGCATGATATATAGTATTCAGGTTAAAATGATTGACACTGTAATAGCCTTTGCTGGTCGATTATGACGTTGAGTAAGTAGAACAGTCGACCAATTATGTAAGGGTTCAAAGGTCACAAGATGATGCTAGTGACTGGGCAAAGAAATCACTTGACACGCTTTCTTGGTTCAGTTTTATTAGGATTCTATAGAGTGAAGACTTATTCTTAAGGTCATCGTGTTTAGTTCCACACAATTCTATCTTGAGACAGAGAAAGCAGTGGAACAAAGCACAGCCTCGTAGAAGATATTGTCCTTTTGTGTGTGAGGAGTACATATAACTTGTTTTTTTGTTGTTGCAATAATATTGTTTTTAACTTTGTACAGTTTTATTATTTTACATAAACTAAGAAGACTCAGTAAGTTATCTAATCATAATAACTCTTTATTTCCTGAACGAATATGTGGTTATTTGTGGATCTGTCTCTTTGATACTTGATGAGCAGTTTTTATCTGAAAATACCACACTTTAAATTGTTAAAACCTGCTTACTTAAAAACGTAAACAATTTAACATTTTTAATATGTCTTCTCTTGACTTTTTATTCATCAATAGGTCAAGGGGATTCTGAAGACAACTAGTGATAATCTTCAAACAAATAATTTCTTTACATCATTCAGACAGTATTGTTGTCCATTTAAACTGCTGATACACTTTCTTTAGAAATTATAATTACAAAATCAAATTGAAATTAAGTAATATATATTCTGAAATGACCCATACCCAGTACTATGTCTTCCTGCCAGTGATGTAAATTCATACACTGATACACACCACTTCTGTGGTACTTATTTGTTTATGTATATTAATATATATGGACATACGTGTTGATTTTACATGTAATTTTGAAAACATAATTTTTAAGTCGATTTTTTTTAAAATTATGTATAATCTTCTAAAGAAACTATACCCGAGTTAAGTGCCTAAACTGCAAAATACTGCTCATACTATTACGTGGTTCATCCTTGAACGTACAAACATGCAGAAATATAACTAATGCCTTATCAATAAAGCAAAAATGGCGATCTGTTGGTTGAGTGCTGTGTAGATTCATTTAATTACGAGAGAAGAATGAAACTATTTTCCGATCTGTTGGTTGAGTGCTGTGTAGTTTCATTTAATTACAAGAGAAGAATGAAACTATTTGTCCATCTGTTGATTGAGTGCTGTGTAGGTTCATTTAATGACAAGAGAAGAATGAAACTATTTGTCGATCTGTTGATTGAGTGCTGTGTAGGTTCATTTAATTACGAGAGAAGAATGAAACTATTTGCCGATCTGTTGGTTGAGTGCTGTGTAGGTTCATTTAATTACGAGAGAAGAATGAAACTATTTGCCGATCTGTTGGTTGAGTGCTGCGTAGGTTCATTTAATTACGAGAGAAGAATGAAACTATTTGCCGATCTGTTGGTTGAGTGCTGTGTAGGTTCATTTAATTACG